ACATCAGAAACTCGTTCATATCGTCCGATGACACAGGTAATCATTACAATTAATAATTAATATTATTACCATAATCAAAGGGTACGACCGGCCGACAAGTCGATATTTTATTGCGARCACACTGTTATTGACTATACTATTATTGTCGTATCGCATATTATTTTTTTTTATCATTATAGGTAGCCAGTAAAGTTAGTAGGTAGGACGTAGGTAGGTAGAAATGTGTAGAAATAAAGTCATTAGTCAATGTGCCAACGACCGCGATGAAAACAAACAGACCGACTAGGTAGGTATGGGACGTATAATGTATAAAACGCGTTTATGTTTACGGAGCAAAACCATTCGAGCAGGTAACACTGTCTACTATCAAGGTGTCCAAGGGTGGGGCATGGTTATCTGGAGAAAATTTTTTTCAACGAAAGTTTTTTCTAGCGTTTAAAATAAAAAAAAAGAAGACTAGGTAATTGCCTAGAAATAAATTCCTCGCCGTGTTCCGTATTCCATTTTTTACGCCATATTTTTTTTTTTTTTACGTTTATCCGCTAATTATTCGAATGAACTACAGTTTATTATATTCTATTACTGTCGGTTGTTAATGTTTTTATTATTCTGTACCATTCAATGATCGTCGTCGTCGTCGTCATCTACCCAAACTGAAATCGTACATAATAATATTATACTTAAAATCTGGACCGCCCAGGTACAGAATTCAATCAGTGCAAGTAAACAACAATCCGGTGATCAGTGAATAGTCCGATGTAACGTTTTAATGTCATTTTTTTTTATCTTATCTCGTGAATTGTTTTCCAACGTTCATCATTACAAGTGGTATAAAGCAATGTTTTAACTTCATCGGTTTTTTTTTCATTATTTTTTTTTTTTGTAATACTTATTTTAAATTTAATTTAGTATACCTACCTACTATTGAATTTTCGCGCACACTCAATATTGTAACAGAGACTGTAACAGAAACTGTAACAGAGAAGAAATCATGGTCATTATCAATGATCTCGATTACCAGCCATTCCAATCGCTCGTCAATGTCGACAGTATTCCATTTCTTATTCCGGAATGCACAATTACAAAAAAGCAGCCAAACAAGACATTTAGTGAAATCCAACATCTCATTACCAATGGACGACACAAGGAAGTAAAAAAACTATTACGTAGCCATCATTGGCCTGCCGATAACATGATTCGCTCTCAACTATGGTCGGCACTGTGTAAACAACACAATAACAATAATATGACTGAAGGTTTTTATTGGGATCTAGTCGTCCAATTATTTGGTACTAAAGAATTACCAGATAAAACTAGTATATTACCACCTTTTGTTGATTCCAAACATAGACATATTTATCATTTAACTGCTGTTGGTAAAGAAGTTGCTGATCGAGTAGTATGTGTACTTGGGTTTGCATGTCCTGATATTACTTATAGTCCTGCAATATATTCGTTAGTCTCATTATTTTTACATTTCATGCCTGAAGAAGAATGTTATAATAGTTTGACTAGTCTTGTATCTTCAAAACGACTAGTTTTTATGACACAAACAAAGTCATTATATGAAGTTACATGGAGAACTGTTATGCGAGTTACAAGGAAATACGCGAGTAGTGCTTCAATTAATCTAACAAAATTTTGTTCAGCAACCAAAATAGAACATGTATATACTGATTGGATGTGGTGGATTTTTCAAGGCCTTCCATTTCATCACATTGTAAGAGTAATGGACTGTTATTTACATGAAGGTATTAAAGTGTTATATAGGATTGCCATGGCTATATTAAAGCTTTTTCATAAAAATTCTAGTAAAAGAAATTCTCCTTGGGCTTTAGAAGCTCTTAATAATGGATTAGAAGCTACTTTAATGAATTTTTGTAGACAAATGCCTGTTAGTCCTAATAAATTGTTAAAAATAGCATTTAATATTCGAGCATTAAGTTCTGCATATTTACATAGAGTTTTTGTTAAAACTGAAATGTCAATGAAATCAAAAGCCATTGTATCAAATTCCCATCAATTGATAAGATCTCGATCGAGTGAAAACTTACCCACCAGTCAATCTCAAGTAAATATTCAACTTTTGTCACATACACTTAGTACACGAGAACTTTTTACATTGTGGTCATGGTTACCAATGCGAATTACCATGTATCAACCAATTTTATTATACACTACAGAAGAGCATGGATGCAGCTTGACCACATTCTATTTTAGAGTCGAACAGCATGAACCRACATTGTTAATTATTAAAACTTGTTCTGATGATGTGTTTGGTGCTTATTGCTCAACTAAATGGCTAGAGAGGAATAGAAAAGATGATAGAGGAAACAGGACAGCATATTTTGGAACAGGAGAAACATTTCTATTTAGCTTGTTTCCTGAAAGATCAAAGTATCCATGGGTTGGTATGGAAAATGATAATGTTTGTCATTCAAATGAACTTTTTATGGCTGCTGATTCTAAAATGATAACTATTGGTGGTGGTGATGGTCAAGCTATTTGGATGGATGAAAATATAAGATTTGGAAAATCAGATAGCTGCTCAACATTCAATAATCCACCACTTTGCCCTGGGAAAGATTTTGAAATCAAAGTGTTGGAAGTTTATGGTTTTGGAGGTGCAATGCTGTGAAGAGTTGGTGACCATGATTGTATACTAAACATTATTCTATTCAAGGTTTCTTTATGTTCATATTTTAGTAATTACATTTTATTTATAAATTTGGATGTTTGTTTATACAACATTATTTATAGGTATTAGCGAGGTGGTTATGGGTGGAGAAAATGTACTTCAAACAATATCCACTTCAAAATATGACACATATCCAGGAATTGAAGATAATGAAGAAGAAGAAGAATTGGCAGAATCACTTGATATTCACACTGGTAAAATAAAAAAAACATTTATCGCCCTGCTCAGAATCTAAAATAGTACCTATTATTTTCTGTTTGTTTAGTTATTTATTAATTAGTTTATATTTTTTAAGAATTTGGAGTTCGACGTCAACGATCTCATACATCAGTTCAGTTAGAACGTCTGCAAAGAAATATGATAAAATCTGCTAATGTGCGCCATGTAAAATGGGAAATAACACCTGTTTCCCTTACAGGTATTACAAATAGAAATAGCAAATACAGTCAAATAGATTAATACATAGAATATAGTATATACCTATACCCAGTGTTGGGTAAATTATTTTTAAAAAGTATTAAAGTTACTTTACTCGTTACTTAAAGAGAAATGTAATAAAGTTACTTTATTCGTTACTC